TTTCTTGCTGATCAGTGGAAAAATTCTCATCAGCTAGAACTGTATCTGACGCCTCTGGTGCCTTGGGTTATGGTGCTGTCTTGGGTAGATATTGGTGTTATGGTCAATAGCCGGATAGCTGGCGTCATTTAAACATTGCCTTTTTAGCGCTTTTCCCAATTGTTTTGAGTCTGCATTCATGGGGTCATGACATGCAGAATCAAAAGGATCCTTTTCTTTACTGATAATAAGGCCTTGGTTCATGTTAGCAATAAGCAGTCATGCCAGGATAAGAACTTGATGTTTTTAGTACGAGGGCTGGTGGTTGTGTGTTTGGAAAATAATACTTATTTTAAAGCAAAGCATATCCCAGGTGTGCACAATATTCTTGCTGATGCCCTTTCTCAGTTGAAATTGCAGACTTTCAAACAACTAGCACCAGCCCGCATGAATCCTCATTGTCTCCAGCCTGTCGGATGGCATCAGTGACCTCCTATCTAGGAATTGTGCAATCTTGGAAAACAATACCGTTTAGCCTTTTAGACAGTGTGGGTGGCCCATTGTTGTTGAAATGTAACTATTTATTAGGAACTTTACCCGTGCTCCGTCTCCTGCTCCTTTTTACTGAGATGTTCTCAGTGCTTGGGAGAGCATGTCCGAGCGCACAGCAAGGACAAAGAAAGAAATCGTAAATGAAATCTTGTGGAATAATAATGAAGTCACTATCGGTGGCAAATCTGTTTTTTATAAGCAATGGGATGCTGGCGTAAAGACCTTGCCAGACATCCCAGACAAGGAAGGAAAGTTCATGACATTTACAGCATTCAAGGAGAAGTACAAAATTAACACACATTCCGTGCTATATCAGAGGCGTAGGAGGGGTGCACGTGACCCCCCCCTTGGTAGACCTTCTTTTGAGCAAACAACCTACAATATTCAGGTGGCGAAAACGCCCACTTTTTAAAATTTGTTTTTTTGGAAAGTATTTTCCTCAACGGCTCTTGTCTTTAGTTAATATGGGCCTTCATGCCACGATAATACGACTGAGCCTGCTGATACACGGGGAGAGCAGCGGTATAAACCATATATAGTCGGCGATCCCCGGATGGTATCCCTGCTTAACACAACGAGTTTCAGCTTGAAAATGTCGAAACAAACGAACGTTTTCAGCTATTTTCAGTGCAAGGAAGTTCAAGAGAGGTAAGGAATGTTCTTTATCTGATTTAGGTTTAAGTCTTTCTTCTCAGAGGATCGGCATCTAAGTTGCTACAGTTAATTACAATGCATTGTTTTCCGTGTTTTTTCTGGCCAGAGCAACCGGAGCATGTTGTCAATGAAAGTGTCAAAGTGGAGCCAGCTTGCAAGCGAGTTAAACCCAACAATGGTAAAGTTTCATTCAAAATTCATTCAAAATGAACATGTATGAATGCAGGGCAGGCTTTCTTTTTCTGTCTGATACCTTTATTTTTGTTCTTGTTGATGATGAATACAGATGTACACTACGGCGATACAACATCTGAGATAGTCGATAAGACACCAGCAGCGGCCTCTGTTAAGTTTAGGTCGTTATTTTTTTTTGGATGTTTTAATAAAACTAGAGGTAATACCGTAGTCACTTGATATTTTTTTATCGATATAGGTTTGCTGGATCTTCCAGATGAAATTGTTTTGAAAATTCTTCAATACCTACCGCAATCATCAGTCATTCACAGCTTGTCAAGTACATGCAAGCGAATATTCCAGCTATCCCATACTGCTGTGTTATGGAAACGTTTTACATTACAGGATACAGGGCGTCCTCCTTTCTATACGAGGCATAGTTTTAAAGGCATATTTGAGAGGCAGTGTAAACATTTCCAGCATTTATATTTCAATGGCGAGTTCAAAAAAGATCTTTTCCTGTCGTTTACTAATTGTAATGTTACACGAACTTTAAGAAATTGATCAAATCTTGTTATTTTAGATTGGCCAATAAATTTTCACTTAAAAAGCATTTCTTTTGTAGTCAATCTGTTACATTAGAAAGAGTTGTACTTAGAACATTGTATAAATATTGATGATGTGGTAACCACAAGTGTTCTGAGTTGTGATGCTCATTTACAAGCTCTGGAAGCTCTTAGTTTAAGAATGTGCGAACAGTTAGACTCTGCGGAGTTGATTGCTATTACACTCAGCCATCCTAGTCCTCGAATATACAAGATAGATGGTTGTTGTAATCTCGATGTCCTTTCATGTGTTAGAATTTTAAACTTCCCACGGTTGTCATTGTCAGAGTTTGTCATGACACCAGATTTAGACTGTCATACCATAGAAGAATGGAATTACTTAGAAAACATGTTTGGTGAACTAAGACTGTGCTGAACGAACTGATTGTCACTCTCGTTGCCAACAGAACTAACAAATGCGAGGCATTACAAAACACACAGGAACCGTAACGTTCACTTGCTATTTCTGTATTGTTGATTATCTAATCCTTTGTATACAAAATTGTTGTTAGATAAAGAAATAGTTACAGTGGCGTCAAGCTGTAACTGTTTGACATTTAGGAGTCATGAGATATATAACAAAAATTTCCTTGACTATCAACTTCAAAATTGTTGTACTTTCTTTTGTAGTTGAAGCTATAGATGACTTTGCTGGACTCCAGCGAAGACAGCATGCACCTTTCTTCACGATTCTCGCCGATGAAACAACTGACGTTTCGAATACTGGACAGCTTTGCATATCAATTCGATTTGTCGATGAAACTTGTAGTATACATGAAGAATTTCTTGGATTTGTAAGTTTGGCAAGGACGACATGTGAAGCTGTGGCCACATCGATCCTCGAGGCGCTCCAAACCTGGTCAGTAGATGTGAAAAATTGCAGAGGACAAGGATATGATGGAGAATCTAGTATGTCCTCGGCTGCAAGAGGTACACAAGCATTTATCAGACAAAGGAGCCCCAAAGCAGTCTATACGCACTGTAATGCACACTGCCTGAATCTTGCTATTGTACATTCCTCTGATATTCCAATGATAAGAATGATAGGAACACTTAATGAAATATGTTCTTTTTTCAACTTCTCACCAAAAAGGCACAAGCTGTTAGCGGCAGTTATTAACAACATATGCCCTAACACACGCCGGACCACCCTAGTTTTCGATGTTCACTGTGTATTCCACTGATGGACCACCTTATAGCCCAAATGGACACATACTTTGGTGAAATTCAGATGAATGTCTCCAAACTGATGTGTTTGGTACCTGAAGTATTGGTCAGTTGAAGTGATGCAGCAATTCAGTTTTATTGAGATGATTTGGTATCACCATATGTCATTGACGTTGAGCTTGTCCGTTGGTGTCACAAATGGTCAAAAGTGGCTAAAGAATCGAGTCTTCCAAATAGTGACTCAGACACACTTAGAGAATGCGACCCTATTTTCTTTCCCAACATAATATCCTACTTTGCATTCTTTGCACATTACCCGTTACTTTTGCGGAGTGTGAAAGGCCATTTAGCACTTTAAAACGCCTGAAGACGTACTTATGAAGTACAATGACTACAGGGAGAAAGTCAGGTCTGGCGATGATGAACATCAACTATGGCAGAGCAATTGACATTGATGAGATCATCAACATTTTTGCCACTCGTCATCCATGCCACCTTGTACTAAAAGATATTTTGACAGATAAGCAGTCAGAATAGAATAGAGTTTTTTCGTGGAACTTAACTGCTGGCTAGAAGCTATTTTGTAGGCTTGTCCTGCCCTATACTCTCACTGCTCATCCCAAAACTGTAACATTAAGTAAAACATGCACGGCGTGGAGGTCGATATGACAATCTGCTGAGTAGCCTCTGTGACCCCCCCTTTGAAAAATCCTGGCTACGTCCCTGTATATTAGCCTTTGTAAAGCAATACCAAAACATAAAGAAAATGACTTGGTAGTTTCGGATGAGTCAGTTCAGCCATTTAAGAACTCACCTCCCACTTGCAGGCAAGCACGCACGTTTTATGTATCTAAATCTTTCCAAAAACATACATCAGAAGTTCATCTTGTTGAGGCTGACTTCACAATTCAGACAATTCAGTGTTTCACTTACCTTCTGCTTTTCTTCCCATTTCGCCGTCACTAATGGCTCTGTTTATGGCATATAAGTTTAATTTTCACTATGCCCCATCTACTGTGAGAACATACATTTCTGACTTGGGATATTTTCATAAGCTCTTAGGTTTCCCTGATCCATTCAAAGTTTTTTATGTTTACCAAATCAACAAGGCTATAAAAAAGGTGAGTTTCCATTTGGATAGCCGCCTCCCTATTACACTTCCTATTTCGAACCACTTAGTATCTTCATTTTTTCAGGGGTCAACCTACCAAATTAGTCAGAAAAGACCACCAAGTTTAATAATAATGCTAACCCTCCCCTTTAGTTATATCAGATCACATAATTAATTTCACCATCTGCGGAATTGAAGGCTTTTAAGATCACCTTTGGGGATTTTAAGTAATTACTGGCAAGGTGGGTCAGTTTGCATGGGTGGCTGCCCACTTTGTTGTTAATCTCATTTGTCTTCCAAGGATTCATCTAGGAAACAGCAATTTTTACCATCATTTATTTATTTATTTTTAATTCATTGGGTTCATTATATTTACAGCAACGTGGGTCCGTTTCCATGGACTGCTGTCCCACCTAGTTGCGTCACGCTCTAATAATCTTATTTTCTTTTCTTATCACAGATTAATTAAGCCAAAAACAATTTTTACAATCGTTTATTTCTCATACCTAGTTTTCTGATTACTGACTCAGCTTGCATGGGCGGCTTTGTCAGGAGTTGGTTTTCATTCGATTCAGTTTGCATTTTTCAGGATTAGCTTTCAATTTTGTGTTAATGGTTGAATGATTTGGGTTTGATTAGTTAATTTTGTTGTGCCATGCTTGCAAGGGCGGCTGGTATACCATCTAAATAATAGAGGATTTCTTTTTCTGGAGCTGATTAGCATTAATAGCTTGTATAGCTTAGGTTGCATTTCTTTC